GTTGCTTCACCGCACGAAGTTGACCAGCGACCCTCCCTTCCTCCTTCTCCTTTCTCTCACGTATTGCTCTCGGGGATCTTCATCCGCGTCTGAGCTATCAACAAGTCTCCTTTCCGGTCCTGCCAATTCTTCGCTCTAGTATACGGTTGACAGTATCCTCCTACCTCATTAGTCGGTGGCCAATATCACGAAAGCTAGCGAGCTCCCCGCCCAGATTATCATCACCCACTAGCTAGCTCCTCCCGCTGTGGTAAGTAATAGCTCCCGTTCATTTATTGCCACGCGCAGCCCCAGCCCAATTGTCAAGGCTAAGCCCATCAAACACCGGCCTTCCCTTGCTTGTCATCTCGCTTCAACAGCTTCTGCTTTTCGCAACCTTGTTGTTATCGGCACCGGACTCTTGATCTCCAACTTGAGCGTTCCCTGGTATTCATCTTATCCCATCTCTCCTTCCGTTGTTTACGTGGTATCTATTCAAAATCTTGCCACCCCACTACGTCAGAGCTCGTCCAGCCTGTTGAACACGATCCGCCTCATTTCATGTCCTTGCCTGTACCCTACGCAGTCGTTGGCCAGCGGTGTCCAGCTTGATTGGTGCAGCCTGAACGCGGGGACGAAGCATTAGGTGCTTCTTTGCATCCTGCTCAACGACCCCACCAATTTCACAACATTCTTTTATTCACCATCTACCCCGAAGACCTCAGAGAACCTGGCAACCCTCCAACATTCCTCACACTACTGTCTGTACGTCGTGGGCCGAAGCTGATCTGAACACAAATAGTTCGCATACGTCTCTCTACCAAACTACTCGCTGTCAACGTCCTTGAACGCTGCGCCGATCGAACACCTTCCAACAGGCGATTCGTGACGGTCTAGAGTCTCGAAACGAAAACATCCATCCTTGTACAAGTAGCTATACTGCAACCATGTCCGGCATGTTCAAGAGTCCTTTTGGGGCAAACGCCAATCCTTTCGGAGGACCTACCGATGGACCTCCCGCAGGAGGCAATGCCATTCACCGTGTAATCGAAGAGGAAGAGAATGATAGTGTTACTTCTCCGACATCACCAAATTTCGGTATGAATGCTGGAATGACTTTCAATGGCCCATTCGGCGGTAATGCCGCAGACGACGCTGCGCCTTCTGCGATGAGAAGCCCACCGAACCCCGAGAGTTACCCTGCCCAGTACAATTTTGGCCGTCGAACCTCGGTCTCTGCTGAGTCTCTCAAGCCTAGTGCCGACACATACGACAATTGGTCGCCCCCTTATCACGAGAAGACCAAGGAGCAGTTGGGCCGTTTGCAAACTGCCATTGAGGGCAATTTCTTGTTCTCCCACCTGGATGAGGAACAGAGCGGCCAAATTCTGGGTGCGCTGAATGAGAAACCCATTCCCGCCAAGGATATCAAAGTAAGTCCAGTCGATATGATGATGCTTTGGAGCTTCCTAACACTCCGCCACAGGTTATTAGCCAAGGTGACGCGGGCGACTTCTTCTACGTTGTAGAGAAGGGGTCTTTTGACGTATATGTCAACAGCAGCGGTACCTTGCAGCCTGGCCCCGAGGGCATGGGTCAGAAAGTCGGTACCATCCAGGCAGGGGGCTCATTTGGTGAACTGGCCTTGATGTACAACGCTCCCCGAGCTGCGACTGTCATCTCTGCCGAATCTGGATGCACCCTTTGGGCGCTCGATCGCCTGACGTTCCGCCGTATTCTCATGGAGTCGACATTCGCTCGGCGACGGATGTACGAGAGTTTCCTCGAAGAGGTGCCTTTGCTGCAAAGCCTCACACCGTACGAGCGATCCAAGATTGCCGACGCGTTGGAGACTCAGAAGTACGCCCCTGGAGAGACCATCATCAAGGAGGGAGACCCAGGTCATGCGTTCTTCCTTCTGGAGAGTGGCGAGGCCGATGCCTACAAGGGCGGGGTCAAGGAATCTGTAAAGCATTACAGCAAGGGAGATTTCTTTGGTGAACTGGCGCTTTTGAACGACGCCCCTCGCGCCGCTAGCATTGTCGCGACGACGGATGTCAAGGTTGCGAGTCTCGGCAAGAACGCCTTCCAGAGACTTCTTGGTCCCGTTGAAGGCATCATGAGACGGACAAAGTACGAGGAGGTCAAGACTGGTGTTGAGGAGATGGATCCGCTCCAAGCGGCCTGAGAGGAACTCGAAGATGTTTGATTTTGCGTATGATCCAAGATTGGATGGCAGACATTGGGAAGGTTGAAGAGGGTGAATGTCAAGATTCACAACGGCGTTAGGCGGAACCCCCTACCTTCGCTTCCTAAGAGACACGGCTAGTGACGTTCAGATACCTGTTAGTAAAGATTATATTTCTTCCACGGTGCATGGATGTTTGGCGTTTGTGAAAATAAGTGTTCCAGGTGGTATCATTGGCTTGGTCTTTTGTTTGGTGCAGCTGCGGCGGCTGCCTCATTGCGATCTATGCAGAGTGCGGTGCGTCTCAGCCGCCTCTTACCCTCATTTCTTCTAGAACTTCTCGTCTCAATTGTTCGACTGCAATCTCAGTTTCGAGCGTCCTTCCAACGCCCTTCTTCCAATTCTCCTCCAGCCCCTTCATCTCTGCTGCTACTTCTTCCTGCTGGCGTCTCCGGGCGACGGTCAGCACGTCAATGAGACGCTTCGTTTCGGCGAGGTCACGCTCGAAGCCTTTCAGCTCATTTTCGAGTCCCCAATTACCGATCAACCACGCGTTCTTTCCCCATTTGTCCAACAGGTTCAGATTTTGAGCACGAGTATCGAGGTAGGCATAGGAAATGTAGGCCTTCTGGAGTGAATCGGCGAGGCGAACACGATCTTCTGCTGTAGATGGTGCCCCGGGGTCGGGGAAAGGCTCTTGTGTTTGATAACGCTCGAGATCAATGGCTTTAAGGGGCTGTTTCGAGGCGACACGGTCCAGCTCGAGTTCGACGAGGGGAGAGAAGGAGGGTTCTTTGTAGTTTGGCGTAGGCGCCGGTGAAAAGGTGGATAGTTCAGCTCGGATTAAAGACTCGGCAGCTTCGCGCTCTGCTGGTGTGGGCTCGTCATCAATATCTGCGGGCGTAGTTCGTTAGTCGGAGGATATGCGCTGCAGGCGATTGGCATAACAAACGTACATGGCAACGACTCGTGGAAGGCGTTCAACGTAGACATTTTACAAGTGCTTCCCCAACAAGGACTTCCTAATCGGAAAACGAGAATAAAGACAAATTCGGTTCTGTCAAGCGGTCCGTATTACCGGTGGAGGGGTTCGGAAGAGTTGATGGCATGGGCGATTTCCGTAGTGGTAGGTGTCTTTGCCGGTGTCAAACGGGCGCGAGGCTGCCGCGATCGTGGTTCAGAAATTTGGAACCTATGGACGCATTGACGCACTGACGCACTGACGCACATTGGATACCCAGATACCTTACCTTAGCTGCCCGATAAGAGGATAAAACCGGCTACAAGAAAGACGGGCCCGTGCGTACATCTGGCTTTGTGAGATCGAGCGCACAGGCCATCCCGCCGTCGATCATTGGTCCGGGGTGCGAAGCTTGCGAAAGGTCCACTCACACAGACGCAACGCTTGGGCAGCCAGATTGCCTCGGCAGGCATATCAGCCCTCTCCAGCAATCGACTAGCGACGCTTCAGCGCTAGCGGGCTGAAAAGGTCCCCTGGCTTTTGGGAACCCCACCCGCCATCTGCTGCCCCGAGTGCCTGGGCTGGACTCGCTCTACGCAATCCGTCCCGACTTTCCAGTTCCACGAGAGGCGAGCACGCAAGACATCGATTAACTTGGCAGATGCATGATGGGACGACGCGGGGCCTGACGTGCAGGCATGGCGTTAGTTGGCGATGGCTTCTTGCCTTGCCCCACTGGGACCTTTCTTCTTTCTGGCTTTTTCTTCAACAGCGCTGGGCTTACTAGAAGGCTGACGCAAGGTGCTAAAAATCTGCACTTGCCTGATGAAACTGCTTGTTTTCTTTGACAGCAGCAAGCCTCACATTTATCCGAGAAACATGACAACACCAGAAACACCACAGAGGCGTCGACGACATCGGAACGGAAGCGTTCATTACGCCTTCATTCTTTCTAGACGGCTTCCACGTGGAAATTGGCCTAAGCAATCTCTCGCAATCTCGGTTCTTCTCGGAATGAGCGTCTTCCACATAGTCTATCGCAATGCATTTCCACCTGTCGAGAACTATTTGACGTTTCCAGTGGGTTCTCCCATCGGCACATAGTACCCAAAAGAACGGGACGAATTATTTCAGCTAGAAAATGCACCCGCGTCCTAGATTCGATCCACCCAAAAAAGTCATCGTCTTGACGCTTGATTCCTGATCGCCCTTCGTTCGTCGTTGCCGAAGCGCTTTCCCATTCCGTCACCAGTAAGTCGTGCAGGACGGATATGGCGGATGGTGATCCGGAATGCAACCCGGGGGCCTGGAGCAACCCAAGAGGCGACAGTCGCGAGACGTCGTCCGCCCGTCAGTGGTCCGCTATCCCAAGCTATTTGACCTTGGTGTTCCATCCGTGCCTCGCCCCCGTCGGACTATGGAAAAGTGGCTGTCACCGGCCTTGCCGGAAGCAGTGGTCCGGGTACGCTCTGTTCGCGATTCCAGCCTGGATCGTCATCTTCTCATCGAGTCTCCACCACGTGAGAGGGCTAAGAGGCGGCCGCCTCCTTGGCCTAGTGTGGCGCGCTCCTGGCTGAACTATCGCATGCGGCACATCATGTTTGTTGAAAGGAGGTCAACTCGGGAACTACGAAGGATTAAGTCGCCTACCCTTAAATGTCGCTGGCAAGGCCAGCCTTGGGTGCCCCCTTTTGTGGTTTGTTGTTTTGTTGTGGACGGTGGCTAGAGGAGAAGAAGAAAAACGTGACAAACGGCCTTGTGATACCAATGCTCCTTCTTTAAGAAGCAAATATCCCCATTGATACGGTCCAGGGTCTTGGTAAGGTTTCCTCGAACTTTATTTGACGACAAAACGGTCTCACCTCGGATATCATGAGGTTTCCACTGTCTCTTGCCTTTTTGGTAGCTGCGCTACTAGCTATTACGGCCGCAGCTCAGAAAGTCAATGGTATCACGGATGCTGTAGCCCAGCTACCTACATGCGCGGTACGGTTTTCCTTGTCCCTAAGTTCGGTCCGTCAACGTTTAACTTTGCTCTAGGTCACCTGCATTCTATCGGCCGTCAAGGACTCGCCATGCGGGTTGACGAACACGACGTGTATCTGCAACGATGCGAAGTTCGAGTCAGATACGGAGACCTGTATAGTCGGAGCATGCAGTATCAAGGACACACTTCGTCAGTCATGCCCTTCTTCTTGACTCTGACTGGCATATGCTAACAATCAGAAGATGCCAAAGCTGTGTTCGAAACCACTTGTGATAAACCTGTCCGAGACCACAGCGCGGAATATGTCCGACTTACATGGGTCCTGCTGGGACTCACCACCTTCGTGGTTGCAGCACGCTTGATTTACAAGTATTTCTCGTCAGCAGAACTCGGGCTCGATGACATGTTCACTCTTCTCGCCTATCTGGCCGTCCTTCCATCATTCATCATCAACCTCGTTGGAATTGTCCCCGCCGGCCTTGGTAAAGATATTTGGACCCTCACACCACATCAAATCGAAAGCTTCGGTTATTGGTTCTATATCCTAGAGCCAATGTACTTCGTACAGATGGGCATTGTCAAGATGGCGATCCTGTGCTTCTACATGCGCATCTTCGACCGCGCCGGACTTGGAAAGCTGCTTTGGGGTACAGCTGCCTTCAATGCTGTCAACACCTTCGTCTTCCTCATGGTTGGCATTTTCCAATGTACACCTATCCACTACTACTGGACGAGGTGGGACGGCGAGCAACAAGGCACCTGTATCAACATTAATGCAGTTCCATGGGCGAACGCTATCATCAGCATCTTACTAGACCTATGGATGCTGTATCTTCCTTTGTCGCGAATCCGAACTCTCAACCTGCACTGGTGGAAGAAGCTAGCCGTCACCCTTATGTTTTGTGTCGGTACTTTGTGAGTACTCACTGAATCCATAACTGACAATTTCGCCGTTGTTCTAACATCACCAAGCGTCACTATAGTCAGTATCCTGAGACTTCAGTCGCTTGTCCGGTTCGCGAGTTCGTTGAACCCTACATGGGATCAATTCGACATTGCGTTCTGGACATGCCTCGAGGTTCCCACCGGCATCATTTGTTGTTGTCTTCCGGCCATCCGTCTCATTCTCATCAAGGCCTTCCCCAAACTCTTTGGAATGCTCACCAAGCGCTACGACACTCAGAAGTATGCGGAATCGCCCTCAAGCGCCGCGGACGGGAGCCGAAGCACGAACCGCATGTCTCGTCCTCTCGGCGATTCCTCCACCACGGAGCTGCAATCAGCCCTGCGAGGCGGCAAAGGCATCGTTTGCACTAAGCAGTTTGCGCTGGAGACACATGACACGTCGAGCCTCTACGCGATGCAAGATCTTGAGTCTGGGAGTGCCAAGAATAGCCTTTCACAAAGCCACCGATCAACGTCGGTCTCGCACACCTCAAGCGCTGTCTCGGATTACGGCGCGCCTGGACGGAAACAGTCTGGTCCCCCCGAGCACTAAGCACAACTTAGCATCGGTCTTTGAATAGGGAACGGTACCCGGAAAAGCATAGAATATAGACGGATGGCTAGCGGCACTTCAACAAGCGACGCAAGACTCTTTATTACATATTCTACTTTGTCTTTTTCCGGATAGAAACAATGCGTAGGCGTTAGGAGTCATTTGGGGCTATTCATTTTCAAGATTTAATACCCAGTTACATATGTACCATATCGAAATCAACGGAAAAGGAAAACAAAGAGGGGAGAGCGCTTATGAGCAGATGACAATTAGCGGAAGGGAAAAGTGCCATATGACGGTTTTGGACGCAAGTGCCGTTGTGTAACATAACAAATCCTGTATCTCCGGGCATAGCAGGGCCAAAAAAGAAACATTTGAAATACCATAGCCGCTCTATCCGCTCTTTGATAGTGGCTAGGCGTTGTTTATGGTGATGCAAGCAGCTTGATTTCCCCACTGCTTTGTTCGTCTGTAACGATGTCATGATAGCCACTCACTCAATCACAAACAGCCCTCAAAGGCTTCTGGACTCTAGCAGCTCGCATGTCCCGCCGCAAGTCTCGTTTCTACTCATACGATATACGAATACGAACATACCGCCAGATCGCAGGCATGATGGGCCTACTTCACGTGCCGTTACCTGGAAGCCATGCATATCCGGGCTTCTGGACCTGATGCCTCTGATCTCTATCCCAAATTGAGAGCTTGATCACACCGACTACGTACCTACCTGATACCTGAAACTTTGACCTGCCATTTCCAGTTGCATTGTTGAAACGTTGTAAGATCCACGGAAAGAACGTTGATTGCATCTTTCCTCTTTTCATAAGGTATCTTAGAATGGGAGAGGCAGGCGCAGGTCAGGCAGTGGCTCCTTCCTGCGACTGACATGCAAAGGCAGCCCTGCCGTTGTGGAAGGTACCTAGTAGTCGGAGAAATTTCTGTCATGTTCTACGGTTAATTGTGTCTCCCACTTGGTCTTCTTCAATGAACCATCGCTCTAGATATCTTCCACGATCGATGCGTATTATACCCTCCTGAAGCAATACGCATGATGTCGGCTCCATCCATCCAGGCATTCTATCAAAGGGAGGTTCCTGCCACGCCTCAGGATGCTTCGAGAGATAGGACGGGATTTCCGCGAGCCGACGGCTTCACACAAGCAGAAGTCGAGTCTGGACACGACCCCCTTGGCCGAATATGGAACCCATCGGAAGAGTACTCGGAGGTGCATATCGGGCAAATCGAGCCAGGCCCGAATCGAATATGCTTCACCGGCCGCGTCGTCAACTACGCACCGGCTCTGCTCGACTCCAAGAAAAATTACAACCGTCCGGCACATCAGCTGATTATTGTTGATGGAACCGGTGCAATAGCAGTATTCACGACCTCCTCTTCTCAAGTGCACTCCCTCTAAGGAGACACTTGCTAATTCCTTTACATAGGTAAAGGTAGTTCCCATCGGAATTCCGGCATCACTGCTTGTGATAGGACAGCTCGTCACCATATGGGCCACTTGGGTAGGATCCACTGGAGGTTCACATCATACCAGCATTCCATATGTGACCACGTGGACACCCATCAATCCTACGAACGTTGCAAGCAAGCAGTTCATTCAGTTCCTCCCGGACACTTTTGAAAATCAGCAACTCTACAGAATGCCTTTGGAGTGCGACCGAGGCAAACAGGATCCCAAACCGTTTCCAGGTTTGATGACTCTGTGTCAATATCTCAAAATGGGACACGAAATCGCAGGGGCTCGGATTGTTGTCTGCGTCAAGAGCATTGGATCTCGAAAACGTGTGAAGTCGTGAAACAATCCGAGAGAGTTTGAACTTCTCGAGGTCACAGTTTGGGACGACACCGCCAGCTGCCTGTTGACTCTCTGGGAAGACAAGGCAAACTCCGCCAGGTTCTGGAAGCCCAATAAGACCATGCTACTCTTTACCAGTCCGAAGTTTATACCCCCTTCCGACAACAAGTCACTACCCTTGAGCGCCAGCATCGGTCTTGATCACAATACCTTAATTGATATCGATCCGAACTTCCAGGATGCCAACTGGCTTCGACAGTGGGTGAAGAAGAGTGTCAAGAAGGAGAGTGTCTATGTGCCTTTTCCCAACGACATTTGGAATGCAGAAGAAGCTGTCCATGGACCAGTTCGGGCGCTCTTTACCCTAGCCGAGGTGGATGACTTCGCTCGGGCTGACCCGGCCAGTGACTTCACCGGCAAGCTAAACTTGACCATACTCGGTATAGACCTTCTCGGTCTTCATCGCAGAAAGATGCTTTGCTGTATAGAGTGGTGAGAATGGACCCTTCCTCTCTGAGTCCAGTCTACTTGTAGCAATCAAGGAGGGCACCACGGCTGACGAGTGCGCCTCCTCCTCTAGTTGTGGAGTTCCCCTCTATGCGAACCAAACATCCGCGAATTGCAAGAACTGTTTGCAGAAGAAGTCTCTCGTTCTTAATCCCCGAATCATGGGTATCCTGGCAGACGAAACAGGTTGCGTTGCACAGGGGAAGCTTGTCTGGAGTGACCAGGCCTGGAGCGAGCTCTTCTTCCCCGCCTTCGAGTCGAGTGACATGGTGAACGCGGAGCCGGAGGTAGCGGGCGAGGCGAAGAAATTTCCATCTTGGCCTCATCCTGTCGCTTCGTGGGAAGAGCTTACCTTGAAGGATGCCAGTAGACTCCGAGTCTTGGAGGAGCAAATGCTGTATGCTCGTTTTACTTTAACATTCGGCTAGTCCCCGTTTGTCGAGCGGCTGTGTGTGCTTGGAGTTGAGTGGTGAAGGGTTCGTATTTTCCAATAGTGGCTCAGAAGCGGGGGTTGCAGTTCTGTTTCGTCATGGTGTTGGTGGTGTAAAGGGGTGCTCAGCTGGCGATGAGGGGTTAGGACGAGGAACTCAGAGGGAGATAGCCCGCGTATTGAGGGGAATGTAAAGGAAGGCAGATTCGACGAGTATTTCGCTTTCTGATGGCGCATATGACTACAAGTGGCATTGAAGGTGGCTTGCCTATAGCTGTCTGCTCATATCAGGCTGAATTGAAATTGTTTTAGCAGGTGTATGCTCCGGCGAAGTGACGGCGTGGTGATGCTTTGCTCAGGCTGATATGTTCATGCTCTGTGCCAGGAGAACGTGGCTGCCTAGCAGCTTGGATTGGTCCCAAGTTGCTGGGTACCTTACCTTGAGAAGATTTACGTTTTGATGGCCGTTGTTGCTGAAAAGCTTTGAAGCATTGACTTCTGAATCCGTGTTGATTCCTCATTTTCGTCCGTGAGCTGGAGGCCTTCCTGTCAACGTACATGTGAGACCAGTACGGGATTGCCGTAAGTTTTGGGCCACGTCTGTGATTTGCGTTTACCTGTCCACAAGCGTGGTGGGTGAGGCTGCTGCGAGCAGTCCAGTAACATCTGTCATGGGGCCTCAAAGAGCCAGAACAATGATGACTGACATACCATCAACCAAAAGCTTCAGTAACGGCATCACCCCCATTAGTTGAGTGGGTCGCGATATCACAGGCTCATAAGCGTCACGAACAGATATGGCAAAAATAATTGGTACAAGGCATGGGTCTTTTACTGAGACCATTGGCCGTTTGATTTATGATGATACAAGGGCGACTATTTCATCGCCAGGTCATGATAAGTTCGTGATGCATACTGTCATCCGCCACCGAGGCAGTCAATCTTTCGAGCGGAGATCCCCCTAGATCCCCGTTCTGTTCCTCGAAATACAAAGCCATATGTCGCCGAATCCGTTTCGAAAGAGAAATGATTGAAGCAAATAACAGAATGTCCTCCCATGCATATTGTAATGTGTGTTTGTGTTGTAGAGTTTGATGTTAACATGGTTCGGAGGACGAACAAGAAAAGCCGTGAGGTGAACATTGACTGCCTTGCCGGATAGCGGTTATGAGAGTGATTGCACCCGAATAAGAGACATCACAGTCGTACAATTAGTGCTTGGTGATCTTCTCATCACCATAGGCGGAAGAGCGACCACTCTCGGAGGACTCGGTCTTGGTGAGGTCCTCGCCGTCTTCCTCGGAGGGGCCGTGTATGGACTCTTCAAAGACAGGCTCGGGTTCGTTGACGTCGAACTTGGTCTTGAAGGCGCCGATGTTATCAGCGAAGCCACTGCTGTTGGTGCGGCGGCGAGCATTGGTGAAGCGGAAGTCCTCGTCAATGACTTCCTCGCCAGCATTGCCCCTATGAAACATGAAAGTTAGCAATTGAATCTAGTTTAAGTCAAGCTGGCGTGCGTTGGCAGGATACGGCGGAGCTTTGAAGTTGCCAAGAAGGGCGTGTGTAAGTGGGGTAGAGGGGGTCCAAACTTACCAATTGCTTCTGCCGCCACCGTTCTTCTTCACCTTCTTGGGATCGACGCCCTCGTGGCCGTGCTTCGCAAAGTAGCGAGGCAGGTGCTCTTGGGGAGAGGCAGTTCCGTCGGCCAGGCCGGCGTGGTCACGGTCGTTGTACTTGTGAGATCGAGTCACTGAGACGAGTGTTAGTCGAAGATGCCAAGTGCCATGTTGCTGCCCGAAATGGGATGAAGACACAACGATTCAAGGGTTGAACATTGCCCGTAGAGGCTATTGATGTTCGATTCGGCAATGGAGACCATAAAAAGTCGGGGATGATGGGGAAGAGCATCACAGAAAGGTTGGTGATGCGGGGGAGGTGGAGGCTTCACAGCGTTAGGAGGGGAAAGGGATACTGACTCTTGATGGAGTTGGTGTTGTTGAAGAGTTGGTGTAAGCGTGTAAGGTGTTTGAAGGGGTTCAGGAACAGCGATGTGAGATTGAGGAGGGTTGTTGTTGGTTGAGGTTGGTCAAAACTGATCGTCTTTGATGAGTTGATTCGATGGTTTGAGGAACGGCTTGATGGGTTGTAGTGATGTGAGGATGATGGAGGGGAGGAGGGGAAGATATGTAGATGAGGAGAGCTACTCAGGATGCTTTTAAAGAACGAATGCTCGAGGGGAATGGCAGCCTATCACATCACGCGATCATCAGATAGCTTGCCCAATGGGGTGGCATGGCAAGGGGGGAAGTAGCGAGCAGGTCCGGAACGGCTGGGGGTTCCTTTGGGAAAGTTGGATCGCGTGACTTGATGCAACGGACGGAGGGGCTGCTGCAAGGGAAGCACATCAGGACGGCAGGAGCGAGCTGGACGAGGAAAGGCAGGCCCAAAGAGAAACGGGGTGCCACTGGGAGCACTGGGACACATGGACGGGGGCCGGCCGGCATGGACTGGGAGTGGCCGGGAGTGGAGATGGACGTGGACTGACGCCAGACTAAACCTTCATTATGCCACCTTTTTGTTGTCCCTCACTCGCGGCATTGAGGAATTGGAGACTAGGGAAGGTGTTGTCTTTGCTGGTCGGCCGGTCTCCAATACTGCATAGCTCCACGCTTTACGTGCCTCGACGTACCTTTCCTTTGCTATTCCATCACCCGCCCCCTCCCTCTCATCCAGTTGCTTGGGGTTCTTGGTTAGAGCTCCTCTGTTGCCAGATCATTCAATATTGACCATTTTCCGTCTATGAGAGATGTTTCCAATTGTTACTTCCTCAAAGAAGTCGCTCGTTCTTCTGACAGATGTGCAGCCATGACTGATTGACCACGGGAGCACAGTGACGCAAAGGGGCCCACTCGGATCCGGGGTCTCAGGTACGAGCCCGCAGCTGGGACGGGTGGCCAGATTGCGGGGTAGTGGATACCTCAGTACCAGCCGCCGCTAACCCGGTACATCGTTCAAGCCACTGTATCCCAGCGCCCACCCAAGTACCGGAGCAGCACGAGACCAGTACCTCCGAACCCTTGCCATCGAGCCATTTCGGGGCCGCAACTGATCCAAAACTGCCCATCGTCAGTCTCGTCTCACACCCCGTTGGTTCCTTTTTTGTCTCTCCATCAGCCGTCGCTGTTGTCGTCGTCGTCGTTTGCTCAACCGCTTCTTTTTCGTTTGTTTACATCCATTCCTGCAAGGTAACGCCGCAAGGGTCTTAATTGTGCCATTCTGCTGCTTGGTTCCGAGGTCGGGGACCCAAGCTGGCACGCGTGGCTGAGGCAGCTTCTTTCGTGCCTCGTTTGGGCCAATGTGGAAGCTTCGCTATTCTGGCCTGAGCATGGCGCATTGCAACGACTCCATCACGGCAAGCTGCATCAACGGGGCACATGATCATGCTCATGCTCGGTGACTGCCGTCTCCCTTCCGTTTCCCACTTTCTAGGCTTCATGTCTCGTTACTGCCCTTTGCTTTTACCTAACGCATACTGCCTCACGGAGACCTTCAGAAGCTCCATGATAAACTGCTCCCAGCTTGATGGGGAATGAGGATCCCCAATGGGCCCTCAAAGCCGTCAGCTGCCACAACCTCGCCTCCGTACCTTAGACCCCCAAACCTCAAGAAATCCCGTCCCAACAAGTCTGAGATGCCGCCGCATCTCGCGGAGAATTGACCGTATGACCTGGAATTCCGCGTTTCAATCTCGGTCCCCGAAACCCCTGGTCCGGCCAAGCTTGTCAGGTCCGAGTCAATTGACCAATGGCCCCCACCCTGCTCACGCGAAGAGCTTTCTAGAGCTATCTCGAAGCCAACTTCGCCTCCCCCGATCTCGCAATACATCCTACGCTGAAGCCTGCTTCGACTGCTCAGCTGCCTTTCAACTTCAGACAAGATTGGATTCAAGGGTTCGGTTCGGCGCATGGATTGGAGAGCTCACGAGCAGCAGAGAGATCCTCTCTCTTTCGGCCCTGTCCATCGATTGACAGCTTGTACATACAAATGGACACATTCGTTAGCCCCCCTGACTCGCACGAATCGGTTCCCCGCCGTCTGTGCACTTGGCAACACTCCTCCCATCTACCCTGCAGCTGGTTGTCTCGACGGCGCGCTTGACGTGTCTCCCATCTACCTGCCGCATTCCCATCAAGGCTGTCATCCCATTCGTCAGTTGACAAACCGGCCGATGGGGACCGGGCCCATCTTCTAACGATCTCCGGCTCCGTTTGCCAGGCCTTACTACCTCTCGGCCCTATTGACTTTATCTGGTCCGGATCTACTGTCGTATCTATCTGGGGCTCTATCTTCTGCTGACCAGATAATGCTATCAGTACCTATGTGTGGATTATATGGTCATGCCGACGATTGCGGAATCGATGTTTCCAAGATTCTATCCACAGAGTCACGAAGGCAGAATTGGCAGGTAAGTGACAAGGCGATTTCGGAGTGCTCGTCATCCCGAACTGCCTCATTAACAGCGGGGTCCGGTCGCTATCGATGGAGCTCGATGCAAGCGGCCACGCCTCAGCTCCCCCACGGGTCTCGTGACAATTGTGCCGTGAATGTCCCACTTCTATCCTCGCATCGATCAGTCTCGACCTAGTATCGCTAAGGATTGTGTGAGTCAAGTCTGTTATCACGAAAACTTGCCGTAAGGCCTCAAGCTTTCTCTGTACAGCAGTGAAATTTGATCGGCATCTTCGTGATTGAGTCATCGAATCTTCGCCAAAGTTCCACGCCACAACGGTCCACTCAGGACGTCGCTCTCTGCTTGCCGGAGCCCATCCTCGCGCATTTCCAATTCGTCAATCTAGCAACATCGTTCTCCTTATCATGAATTGATCATTTTAATATCTCGACAATGTCGCGAGAAAGAAATTCCTAGATATTTTGCATTCCATTCGCTCTCAGGGTCGTCACTTAGGGTTGATCACACAATGGAATCAAACTTGGAAC